AAGAAAGAAAAGAAAATGTCCTACAGGCTTGCCTACAAGCCCAATCTCATGGAAACATTTTTTAAATTGAGGTTCCCTCCTCCCAGCTGACTTTAGCTGTGTCAAGTTGGTATAAGACACGCAGTAGAAACAGTAGCAGAGGAGTTCAGGTTACACAGTCTAAAAAGAACCTAGAAGCTCTTCGCTGCCCTGCACTGTTCCTAGTTCCAGATTTCTCGGTGGGGACCTCCAATTGCCGCGCACCGCACCCCCGTGTCTGCGCTCTGTGCGCTTGAACCCAGTTCGCGAGCTTCAGGAAAGGGGGCTGGAGGTTGAGAATACAGAGAGACGGACTGACAGACACAGAGACAGACCTTTAAACACTAATACCAAAGCCCCAAGAATGCCCCCCCCCATTGTGTTCAGGGGCAGATTATATAGAGATAGCCACGCCCCAGCCAAACCCACCAGAAACCACTCTCCTGCCATCAGGAACTCCTGAAGGTCTCGTGCTCAGAGCAGCTGTAGGCACTCAGGTCAGGGGAAAACGAGTTGTTTACAAGAAATTCAGGATCTGGGGTCTCACTGCTCCCAACACTTCGCCTTGGGCCAACAATGGAGAAACTGGACATGGTGCAATTCTCAAGAGGGAAACAGGTTTGGCTTCCCTGGATCAAGATGGGAGGCCTGGATAGCCCAGAGGCGGAGTGACCGCAGTTCTCACGTGGTTATCATTAATGTAAATGGTTTGGTCACTGTGGAGAAAAGGCTGCTTTTAAATTTGAACATAATATTGAAGGGTCTAGGAATAGAAATAAAAAAAATATACATTTGTAAGCCAAAAAGAAATGGGAGTTTACAATCTAAAAGAAATGGGAGCTTACAATCATCCACTCGGTCGGTTGGCAGCAAGGGATTAACTTTTAACAATGGCTTTTTGCCTATGGCTGGCACCTCTGTCAGCAGCCAGGGGGTTAACTTTTAATGATAACCTCCCTGCCCCTTAGAGCCTACAACTAACTGTCTGGGCTAACTTTTAATAAATTGTTCCTATGTGACTTTTGGTTTGAAATTTTTTTTTTTTTTTTTTTTTTTTTTTTTTTTTTTTTTTTTTTGGGATA